AAAAAAAAAAAAAGCTCCAAGCAAACCTTTTCTAACTTTTCTGATTAGACAACTGCATCAATCTTTAAAAGGCTGACAAAACGCAGAGGAGCTACAACAAAAGAGGAAATCAACATATGCTTTCTTAAACTGTTAATATTCTACCAGATCCCAAATTCAGTAGGTATTCAAGGAAACCAGTACCACGGACACATGAGCAACTTTTGTTTAGATTGAGAGACCTCAGGATGTGCAGGGACAAAGACATGCAAACACAAGGAACTTGAAAAACCAAGAAGCAAAAAGAGTATTGGCAGACTGACTTCAGATGGAGGTTTCTGCCAGAAGGCTAGACTTAATTACAAACTTAAGTAACTTCAATTTTAGCCATTTCCATGAACAGAAGAAAACGGATGTAATTGTTCCTATTCAGCAGAACACTAAAATTTGCACGAACATATGATGCAGTCCAAATAACTATCTGGCCACTTTCCTTAGACCATGCCGCTTCCCCAGAGCTGAATTAGCTTTAATAGATCCCTCAAAGTCAGAGCCACCCAGCAAACATTAAAATTCCATTAAAAGCGCCTAGACAGGTTAGTAATGGGTGATCTCAATCACTGTACAAATGAGGGGAAAACGACTGCTAGAGAGGCGCTCACTTCTCTCTAAGACCTGGAGGCCTGTTCAGATGGACTTGACTCTCAAATTGTTACAAAAACAATGGTGGCACACAACGGAGGACAGAAGGGTTTTAGGGACTGTGGGCTTCATTAGTAAACTGTAGATCAGATCACTTCAGAAACAAAAGGAACCAGGAGTCCAGAGATGATTTAATTTCAAGAGGAAGACAACCATGTCTTCCTGAACGTTATGTGAATTTTTTAAGCAAAAATTCCACTGAAAACATTTCTACTACCTTGCTAGTTTATAACACAGTCCAATAAATCAAACTAACTTGAGGTGAACTTCCTTTAATAAACTGAGAGGTATTAGGAGGGGAAGATTATAGAACGGGAAAAATCAAAGCATTTATCATCATATGGGGGAAAAATTTAAGTATCTGCTGTCTATTAGGTACAGCTCACCAGGTCAGAGGAATCATTTAATTATGAAGGGCCCTATCTCATTAACGTCAGGGCTTAAAAAACTTTCTTTCCTCAGGGCGCATGGGTGGCTCAGGTCATGATCCCAGGTTTCTGGGATCAAGCCCTGTATCAGGCTCCCTGCTCAGTGCATCAGGCTCCCTGCTCAGCGCATCAGGCTCCCTGCTCAGCGGGGAGCTTCCTTCTCCCTCTCCCTTTGCCCCTCAGCCCCAGCGTGCAACTGCTTGCTCTTTCTCTATCAAAAACAAAACAGACAAAAAAACACCCCAAAACTTTCTTTCCTCCTATTTCACAGGTGGTTAAAATAACAGAATTTAAAATCTACTGTGCTTCCTATGTGCAACTACTTTCGGAGTAGTGCTGGACACCACTTAACTGTGTTACCATGTTCCAGCTGCTGTAGCTAAACCCTCAATTACTTGGCAGCATCAGAGAAAGTGGTACTCCACATACATCTACTTTCCAGTTAGCTGGTAAATAAAAAAAAGTATGAACACTTTACATCTTGACCATTTCAGATAACGAGGTTTCTAAAAGGAATCCGTTTCTTTTTAAACAATACAGAAGGAGCATTGGCATTTTATTCTTCTGTTTCCTCGCAGTCACACACTTCCTGATGCTGCTGGGCCCACCTCTAGCAGTTCCTTTTGGCTCTTCTTGCTATGGGATAGGAAACCCGATTTCCTTTTTAAGCTTAAATGAGCTCCCGAAAGGGAACCTGAAAGCGGCCCCTAAGATAGTAGTACATGAGCTTTGGTGTTTGGCTTTTGTAACAACTACTTTAGCTGATTAGAAACAGGGCTTTTGGGTCATTTCAAGGTTGGTTTGTGTGTACTGTATGTACTGTGTTTGGGTCGCCTGAAAAGAAAAGTCACTATTCTTAGATCTCTTTCCAGTAAAATGCCAGATCATAGGACAGCATGGGAATTAAGTTATTTTTCTGTTATGGCAAAGCTATTTTAAAAGTCCCTACCTGTGTCTTTCTGGCAAAAAGTAAGCCTACAGCTAGCTTTTAACTAGCAAGAACTACATTAAATGAAGTAAGAAGTCTCTATGAAAGAAAATAAAATCTTCATTCCTTATAAGATGGTTGGTTAGCACAACTTCAAACTAAATTCAGTTTCCTCTGACCTAGAGAAACATTCTATATTTGGATCTAGATGAACAGTTCTTACCCCGTCAATGGACAAAGGAAAATCAGTCCCATGGGATATTATGGTTTTTCAGATTCACTCTGGGGATACTGACAATTAGTAAGGAAGTCATTAGAATTCTAAATGCTGCTCTAAGTCCCCAAACCCCTAATTTAGAGCTCTGAATCCTGTGGGCATGTCAGAAATTATTTCAAGCCAACTAGAATAGCAAAGTCAGACAGAAAAGGAAAATGAACTATGCCCTCCACTGGGGATGCTCGAAATTTCTGACAACTCCTGACGCACAATAAGCCTTCTGACTCCAAAATACAGAGAATCGCAGACCTATACTGTCCCTCCACAGCTCCATGAGCATTAGTACTAAGGACTGCCTACTTCCAATCATAACCCCAAATAAAGACATTTCAGAATTTTTAAAAATCCAAACAAAAAATAACAATTTTTATAGGCAAAAGCCCCTCAATACAGTCTCTGACAGTATAGGAAAACTGAGAAGTTCAGGCTTTCTCCCAACGGGGCTATTATTTGTTATGTATTAGAAACAAGATGACAAAGTGATGCCTGGATTGCTCAGTCGGTTAAACGTCTGCCTTCAGCTCAGGTCATGATTCCAGGGTTGAGTACCGCATCAGGCTCCCTGCTCAGCGGGGAGCCTGCTTCTCCCTCTGCCTGCCACTCCCCCTGCTTGTGCACGCTCGCTAACAAATAAATAAAATCTTAAAAAAAAGAAAGAAAGAAACAAGATGAGGAAGGTGTGCAATCCCCTAGTAAACACCAAAACTTCCTTCTAACTGAAGAATGAATAGACAGAGGTGTGATCTCAGTCCACTCAGAAATTCAAAGCTACCATTTGACTAGATAAGGGAATCTATTATTTTTAAAAAAGAGAAAGAAGGGGCACCTGGCTGGCTCAGTCTGTAGAGCATGTGACTCTTGATCTCGGGGTACTAAGTTCGAGCCCTACATTGCAGAGATTACTTAAAAATAATTTTCAGATATTAATAGAGAGATAAAGAAATCTGCCCCTTAGGATATTTTTGGGCACCAATGTATTAGGGGAAATCTATAGGTGATTCTGGTACCCTCTGTAAGAAGGGGAACCACGGCAACCCAAAAGAATTAACTTTTGAATTTCTGGTAGGTAAGAGTTAAACCTGAGGCTTAGAAATAATTACCAATTATAATCAGATATGGAGAGGAAAGAAAAAAGATGACAACAGTAACTGCATAAAACTGCAGAGAACATCTGATAAGTCTCTTATTAAAGTTAGGATGTCCTAGACACAAAAACACATCATGGGCATTAGGGGCTAGGCCAGCAATGTCAATGTCCACCTGTGTCTTAATTCAAATTCAGGATATGCCACACACTTTTAAACATGCAATAAAACATTCCCCTTCTCAAAAAAAAAAAAAAAAAAAAAAACAGGTGTGGTAATCTTGATGACTAAAATTTTCTTTCAAATAAAATACATACTCCCTTGAAGAAACTTAACTTTAACCAACACAAGCCTAAGTTCTTTGTATGCTTTTTTATAAGAAACGCCTTTAAATATACTCCACTATGCAGATATCTGAGCTCATCTATCATAAACTTCTGTTACTTACATAAGAATATTTAATTATAAAGTACTTAAATGAGTGCTGAAAAATGTTATTATACCATGCTTGAAAAAATTTTGTCATATTCGAGAAGTTCTCATCATATTATTCTGTTGCTTACAAACTTTTTTTTTAAGATTTTATTTATTTATTAGAGAGAGAGAATCAGAGAGAGAGAGAGCATGAGAGGGGGGAGGGTCAGAGGGAGAAGCAGACTCCCTGCTGAGCAGGGCGCCCGACGTGGGACTTGATCCCAGGACTCTAGGATCATGACCTGAGCCGAAGGCAGTCGCTAAACCAACTGAGCTACCCAGGTGCCCATGCTTACAAACTTTTAATGCTGTCCCCCATCACCTGGCAAATTAAATATGGCAGCTACTTTCTTTCCTAGAAGCACACATCCTGATACCACCATGAATCTTCAAAACTGAGAACTCCACTCTTAGCATATGATTACCTACACAGACTCTTTTGACTACCCAGCAGAAAATACAGAACAAATTAATGTTCATGAAGGGTCAGCCTTGCAATGAGCCAACATGTCACTGGATTTTTAGGGCTGCTCTATGAATTCTATAGTTCCATTGCAAATGGGCTTAGTACTCAGTACTTAGATACTTAGTTAGATATTTGAAAACACTGTCTCAACCTGGCTTTTCCAGCCTTGACCTTCAACACTCCTTTATGCTACAGTCAAACTGCTGTCCCTTGAGCAAGCTCCATTCTTCCTTGCCTCTATTCACACTCTTCACTCTGCTTCAGATGATTCTGAAATCTTCCCCACCCTATCCAATTTTCATTAGTAGAAATTCTACCTACCACTTAACATTTATCTCAACTGGTACACCCTTTACAAAACTTTGTGTGATCGTTGGGGGGCGTCTGGCTGGCTCAGTCGGTAGAGCATGTGACTCCTGATCTCGGGATTGAGTTTGAGCCCCACATTGGGTGTAGAGATTACTTAAAAATAAAATCTCAGGCGCGCCTGGGTGGCTCAGTCTGTTAAGTGTCTGCCTTTGGCTCAGGTCATGATCCCAGGGTCCTGGGATCGAACCCCACATCAGGCTCTCTGCTCAGTGGGGAGTCTGCTTCTCCCTCTCACTCACCCTCTGTGCTCTCTCTCTCAAAGAAATAAATAAAATCTTAAAAAAGAAAAAACTTAAAGAAAAAAAAACCAAAAACAAAAAAACAAAGTCTTGCCTGATCTTCAACTAGCCTAGCCCCTAGGTGTAATGCAAGGTTCCCCTCCACGCCAAAAGTCTTAAGTAACAATGAGCAAAGTCCAAGAAGTCCTATATTCTGTTACCCGAGAGATCTCTCTCTGGTGTACTCTTTCCCAAGATTCTAGAGCTCTTCCTTTTTGTAGCCAGTGATATAAGATGAAACCAACTCTGGGGAAAACCACATAGGATTACAATCAGGGCTTAGACTTCTGTTCTAGCTAGGCAGGGGAAAAGGCCATTTCCCCTTCCTTTCCTTGAGTTTGACCCTAATTACCACCAGAGTGGTAATATCAGGTTATGAACCTGAAGAAGGGCACCAGTAAAGTCTCCCTGACTAATTTTAAGAGATGGAAGCCTTGGTGGGCTTGTAAGTAAACTAGACAAAAGGAGTTTCTTTTTTTTTTTATTTATTTGAGAGAGAGAGAGAGACAGCGAGAGAGGGAACACAAGCAGGGGGAGTGGGAGAGGGAGAAGCAGGCTTCCCGCAGAGCAGGGAGCCCGATGTGGGGCTCGATCCCAGCACCCTGGGATCATGACCTGAGCCGAAGACAGATGCTTAACCGATGAGCCACCCAGGCACCCTGACAAAAGGAGTTTCTAAAGCAGCCAATGGTTTCTTCACTTTGGAGCTCTGGGGTTTAGGGGATCTAATTAAAGCTCAGTGATGAGGCCTGAAAGGCTCCTTCCAATCTTTCTTCCGGAACTGGTACAACAATAAGCAGTGGCTCCAGGATTCAAGATTCAAAGATCTAGGACCCCATAGTTGCAGCCAAATATCCTAGCTCCCTGATGACTACACTAAGACTCCTGCCTCTTCTGTATTGTCAGAACATGAGAAAATGTTTTCTCCTATGGCAGTTTTTCTAACTTGCCCTTTTCAACAGCTTTTCATGAAAACACCCCTTACTAAACTAGAAACTGCTAAAAGGCAAAGACCTTAAGAAGGCTTCCTTACCTTCTATTTCCTACCACAGGAGGTATACTCTACTCTGAACCTGAATAGCAATCTGCAATGTATCATGTTATTATACTAGGACTAGAATAAAGTTTTGGGTTTTTATTTTATTTTATTTTCAAGATTTTTATTTATTTGACAGAGAGAGATACAGCGAGAGAGGGAAACAAGCAGGGGGAGCGGGAGAGGGAGAAGCAGGCTCCCCGCTGAGCAGGGAGCCCGATGCAGGGCTCAATCCCGGGACTCTGGGATCATGACCTGAGCCGAACGCAGATGCTTAATGACTGAGCCACCAGGCGCCCCAAGTTTTATTTTTTAAATACCTTTAATAAATAAAGAGAACTCTGGTCCTGGGGAGATTTGAGAAAGTTTCTGGCATCTTCCGAACTTTTGCATAATTGATAAATCCTCTGAGAAACAGGAGAAAGCCTGATTTAAAAAAGAAAAGTCAAGAATGAATTTATAGTTTCCATATTAAGTCCCCTCCCCAAAAACATCCCTCTTGATAGCACTACTTTATCATTTTTCTGCTAAAAGCTATCAAAACATGAGTAATTTTCTCCAAAATTTCCAAAGGAGTTCCATTTCTCAATGAGAAGACATAATCTCAAGAGCCCAAATGAAACTCTTTTTGCACATTAAGAATCTAATTGATCTAAAAGGGAAATAAAAAATAAGATGGAGTTAAACATGTACATTTGGCAACCTGAGAAGCATTATCAAAACCTACCTTCTGGGTTCCAAAAAAGTATTTCAAGATAATTAACTCCAAATAAATAAATAAATAAATAAATAGAGGACAGGTTATAAAATACTTTTCTCAAGTCAAAAAAAAAAAAAGTCCACCATCCCTTCCGGTCATGGTATTTTTTTTCTGCCAACTGTACATGTGCTGTCCACTAGATGTCAGGATCCCCTTACCTATTACAACAATTCTTTTTTTTTTCCTTTAGCACCAATTCTTATATTTTCAACTCTGAACTCTATTTCTCTATTTTTGAAAAATACAGACAAGTAGGGTACACCTGGCCATTTATTTACCAGACACTAAGGGAGTTAAGACTAATTTTGTGTGTCTATGCCAGAAGCTACACATTCACAGTTGGTACCTCTTCTAACAATCTGTGGGGGAAGGTGATGTGCCCCCTCCAAGGATAGCTCACATGCTGCTGGTCCTCCTCCTTTAGAGCTGGTGTCTGAGTCTTAAGAGGGCTTTTTAAAAACACCTTCATGGTGATGTAATTCACATACTATGAAGTTCACTCATTTAATGTATACAGTTTACTGGCTTTAATTTTAGTATAGTTATGGAGCTGTACAACCAAAACTATTATCTTTATTTTAGAACATTTTTATCACCCCTAAAAAAATCAGTACCCATTCAGCGATAACTCCTCATTCCCATTCTGTTTGGTACCAAAAGCAGTAAGTGACTATAGAGCAGGGGTCATCCCATTAAGTGCTGGGTTAGGGAATCCTACTAGTGAAATAGAGAGCACATAACCTATATGGAGGGGACACCTACAACTCAGCTCCAGTCAAAGGGTGGGTGCCATGTGGAAATAGAGGCCTGTTTTACTAGATATTCCAATTTTTAAGAAAAGTAAAAAAAAAATTCAGACATTTTATGTGGAAACTCTTGATTTTTAAATGATGGCAGCTAATAAAAAAAACCTCTGAAAATAACTGTGGAACAAACTAACTACAACTCCCGGCTAGATGTAGTTCATAGGCTGCCAGCTGGAGAGCCCTGTTCCTTGCAACAAAACACCCCAAAATTGGTTCTTTCTGCAAGAGAAATCCCAAAAATGACCCAAACACTGGGTCCAAATGCACAAATGATATCCGAAGCCTCACTGTTTTTTTGGTTACTAGTAAACAGTAAGACAGACAGAAAGATCAATTAATAACAAGTATTATAATTTCCCATGAAACTTCAATATAGGAAGACAATAAATTCATTAAGTTTCTTTAAATAATCTGTGCTGTCAACAATCAACCTGAAAATATGCTTGAATGGCTCTCCTTTGGTCCATTCAGGATCTGCTTGGATTTATGCTGGGGGTGGTGGGGAAGGAGTCAGCCTTTTTCTTAAAGATACAATTTTGAGAATAAGCAAACCAAGAAACTATTCCTCCAAAGTAACTCTTCTTTGGGGCATTTTTATTATTAAGTGTCTCAATAATTAAGGAGGGGGGAAATCATGATTTCTCTTTCCGTGGAATCCCAATGACTATCAGCAGAGTAAGATGATGTTGTTGGAGAGGTTGGGGGTGGTGTGATTTAAGACTTGTATTTTCCAAGTAAAATTTAGGTTCAGCAATGAATGGTCTATCACCATAGGCAAAGCAGGTAGGTCTACACTGTACTAACTTGACCCATTAGCAGCATTGCCACCAGAGATCTTAATTACGGAGGCAACAAGAAGGCCCAAAACAGGAGACAGGAGCAAGTGATATCACAGAAGCCAGACGAAGCAATTATACCATCTTTAACAGCTACAGGTTGGCCCCGCTATAATTCCATAGAAATGGCAGCAGGGATGGTGGCTGTTATTGTGTCATATAGATTTTCTATACAAAGAATGGAGAAGCCAACACTATCCACCCCAATGTTCATTTCTTTGCTTTAACGTGTCTTGAAAGAAAAGATTTTAAAATAAATACTTAGAGGAAAAAAGATAATCTTAAGATGAACAACCTGAAATGCCTAGTGTATTTAAAAAAAAAAAAAAGGCCTCCTCCTCATTGCAAAATCATTCTTATTCTCATCAGTATTGAACTAAAGAATTCTAGAAACCCAGTAATGATTCTCCCAGAAGTTATTTCTAGCAAGGCTATACATTTTGTTTCCTGCTGACAGATCCAACTGAAGATTGGCTGCATACACTCCTGACTAGTTCAATTGGTTACACTATACCTATAAACAATTTGGGGTGGAGTCTGTGAACCCTTCTGTGGCAGTAATTCTCCAGGGGAAAAAAACTCATAGACTATAAAGTCATCTTATTAGTGTGGTCCCACTGGTCACATGGGAAACCTGAGAAGTATATATATGAATGGGTTAGGAAAAATTCAACCGCCACTATGAGACGTTTTATTAACATGCACGTTACTCTAATGGTGATGACAAACTAATCTTTAAGAAATATTTTAAAAATCATACTTATATTGCTAATCTATTACTGTATCATAAGCAAGATGAGGGATGATTTACAGTGTAAAAGTAATTTTACTTCTAAAATTTAACAATTATCTTTTCTCTCCTTTGTCTATGTTAAAAGCACTTACCTAAAACCAGGAACACCCACCAGAGCCAGTACTGACCATCAAAATATCCAGGGAAATAGGTGGAAAACTGAAAAATAAAGCAAATTAATTTATAGTAGTTTAGCGGGTAGAAGTTCACATTTTAACTTAAGGGCACACAAAACACAAGACTTTCATACACTAATGCTGTCATTTAGCTCTCACAATTTTTTTAAGTGGAAATATTTTATATATTACTGACTTGAAATGATTATCATATATGCAGATGTATTTCTTTTCGTGGAAAGTCAATCTCAAAATATGATTCTGGCTTTATAGACTCTTTGTTTTGAAGTTCTCTAATCTGTTTATTTTTTTTAAAGATAGTTTTCCCCACATAATATTCATCCTTCTAGAAATATGGGTTTTGTTATTTAAAGATTTTATTTAAATTTATTTGCCAGAGAGGGAGAGAGAGCACAAGCAGAGGGAGCTGCAGGCAGAGGGAGAGAGAGAAGCAGGCTCCCCGCTGAGCAAGGAGCCCAACGTGGGACTCAATCCCAGGACCCCGGGATCATGACCTGAGCCAAAGGCAGACGCTTAACCGACTGAGCCACCCAGGCGCCCCTAGAACTATGTTTTTTTTGTTTGTTTGTTTTTTTAAAGATTGTATTTATTTATATGAGAGAGAGAATGAGAGAGAGCACGAGAGGGAAGAGGGTCAGAGGGAGAAGCAGACTCCCTGCTGAGCAGGGAGCCCGATGTGGGACTCGATCCCGGGACTCCAGGATCATGACCTGAGCTGAAGGCAGTCGCTTAACCAACTGAGCCACCCAGGCGCCCTAGAACTATGTTTTGATGATACTTTTACTTTGGTTGCCCAGTGCCAAAACCAATTATTTTGTTCCCCTTGTTCCAGGTACGCCTTGACCTTGGAAGCTTTATCATGTACATCACAATAATCCCATACCTTTGCCAAATAATGGCACATTCTGGCCAATGGCAAGTGAGGGCTGCTGAGGTTTTCCTGCACTTGGAGAGCAAAGGAAGAGAAGAAATTGTTTTCTTTCTCCTGTTGAGCACGGCTGTGCCTCTGCTGTGATGCCTGAAACTGCCATAGGCGTTAGAACCCTGCCGGAGGGGCAGCCGTACCGACATGCTGAGCAGAGGCATCGACTGTCCCTGATGATGTCAAGGAAACACTGATTTAACTCTCCTCCACGGCAGGACTTGTTTCCATGGGAAATAAATTTTCCCCTCTGTTTTCTAAGCCATTTTGAGCCCAGTTTTCTGTTACTTCCAGACAAAGGCATCCTGATACGAGTTGATTCATTCAATTCAGTTTTAACATTTTAGTCAGCTTAGTGAAAATTTTAGTTAAAAAAAAGATTGGTAACTAATGTTATCTGTTTTCTATTGGGGGCTTTGATATCCAAGAGTTTAACACAGTTTGTGCACTAAAATACAGTATATTATTTCTTAGAGTAACAATTTAAGATTTAGAGAAGGAATGAAAAACCTCTTTAGGGCTTGGGTTCCTCACCTAAGTCCGTGGCTTAGATGAGTAATGTATTAGCTGCCTGGGGGAAAAGCCCCTAACTTTTAACAGATTCTCAAAGGACTCAGAATCCTATGTGTTAACAATGTTAACAACTGGTTAAAATCAATCAATCAATCAATCAATCTGAAAAAGTCCAGTGGTCAGTCAACACCCACTAATTAGTTAATAATGCCAATATATGATGAATACATTGATTTTTATCTATTAAGTTGACAAAAGCAATAAATTTACCTGAAATCACAGTACACTTTAAGAGACTAGATCCTTTAAAGTATAAATTACTTCAGCAATTCTGACTACCTGATAATTCCCAAATCACTGAAGATTTCTAATACACTTTAGAGATAAGGCCCCCTAATGGAATAGCACTTGTTAAACAGTTTCAGCTTCCAAACATTTTGGCATAACCAATGATGCTACTGATAAACAACCCTGGAAGGGGGGGGGCGGGAAGACAAAGAAAAGGAAAGAGGGAAGAAGAAAGACCAAAACTTTAATAGAATTAATGTGAGGAATGCCTGTTTTTTGAGACACCAAAGAAGTGGTATCTTTCCTTTTTTTTACGAAAACAACTAATTTCAGAACAAACACCCACATTATCATAAACATTAAAAGCAGAGAAACAACTTGGGAACAACCTGTAGGATAGATACCTTGGGACCACCAATATCCACTAGATTTAACTATAAAACTTACATGCATGAACCACCTGAAAATGATTTAGGTTCAACTTCATGAAACCAGAACAAAGACAAACCTAAAATCATTTTAAACATAGAAATAATGTTAAAAAAAAAAAAACCAAATAGTCAAAGTTATTCTACTTATTGTTTCTCTACAGGGTCTATCTTTTCTGGTATAAAACTTACCCTGACAATCAGGATCCACTTAATTAGAGAGAGACCAAATCCTGAAATGGCCCCATACCTTCCTGCAGCTGAGGTGGTCAGGCAAAAAGACAGAAAAAATCCAATCCAGTTAAAGAGGAATGCCACTGTAAAGGCAGAGAAGAAAAAAACCATGTCAGATATGTCCTGTTACCCAAGAAGGAAGAGTGATCTCCACACTTGCTTCTGCTTAAATGGCTTTTCCAAGGATAAAAGACAGCCCAGCCCAGCCCACCCACCATAACCCTTGCCCTCCCCTCCCCAAAACATCCATTTTCTGTCTTCTTCCCAAAAACAAACAAGAAACCATCTGCTCTGAATATCAGGTATTACACTATTATGTCTGCTGCTATTTACTTTCAAAAATGCTTTAACATTCACCAAACCAGGGGCGCCTGGGTGGCTCAGTTGGTTAAGCGACTGCCTTCGGCTCAGGGCATGATCCTGGAGTCCCGGGATCAAGTCCCACATCGGGCTCCCTGCTCAGCAGGGAGTCTGCTTCTCCCTCTGACCCTCTTCCCTCTCGTGCTCTTTATCTCTCATTCTCTCTCTCAAATAAATAAATAAAATCTAAAAAAAAAAAAAAAATTCACCAAACTGTATACATATGACTTGTACCCTTTATATGTTACACTTCAGTAAATAAAATCTGATTCAAGTTATTCATCCCCCTACTTCTATGAATTCTGACAGCTTACATAATGTTACCACTAAAAGTACTACGTTTCCTTTATATCTTATCTTTTTAATATAGGAAATTAAAAAATGGCTGCTCACTTCTAAGTGACACACATGGAAAGATGAATGCAAAATAACACCAAGGAGGCAAAAAAAATTCAGTTGACTTTGATCTGTCAGAAAATAGAAGCATGCAAAAAAAAAATAAAATTCCATCAGACTAAGGCCTTTAATTCCTACTCTACAGGTCAGGTATGAGTAGGAGCAATGCTAAGGATCTTTGCAGACCTAAAACATGAGGCTCAGTTCACGTAAAAATATAGCATCCCCAAAACTGCTTCAGTTATATTTTCTATAGATAGTCAAAGAAATAGAAGACAGACAGAAGGGGTAATAAGATAAAAGTGAACTAAGCTCTGAACATCTCAGTAAAAGGCATCAAATAAGCACAATGTATTAAAATATTAGCTCACCTAGTCATTTTAATTCAGTCAGATTCACCCATAATTCAAAGCACTCCAGTTTGTGGGAGGTGGCTCTGCTATGTGTATTTACTTACTGAAAAAAGTTAACATGAAAATCCCATCATTTCCTATCCTCAGCTGGTCAGCATCATCAAAGTCATCCCGACCCACAAAATCCTCATCCTAAGTGAAAAGAAAAAAGAATAAGGTAAATTCACAATGAATTATTCATAGGCAAATGAAAGGCATCAAGAAAAGTAAGGAAGGGGATAAAAATGAGTACCAAGGAGAAAATTTACTACTTTGGCTCAATTCAAAACTATGAGCATTGAGGCTCAGTATGTGTTAAAAATTTCCTTTTGTCTTTTAAGTAAAAGATCTAATTAGAGAAAAAAAATCTTTCTTCCATCTCTATAGTTTTCTAAACGAATTGTTCATTTTATAACCCAAGTTCTTTAACAATGAGCTTCAAAAATTATAAAGTTCAATGGGAAGTATTAACATATATATCTAAAGCAAAGATATATATTTGGCTTACGTTCTAAAATCACTAACCCAGGAGGCGCCTGGGTGGCTCAGTTGGTTAAGCGACTGCCTTCGGCTCAGGGCATGATCCTGGAGTCCCCGGATCGAGTCCCGCATTGGGCTCCCTGCTCAGCAGGGAGTCTGCTTCTCCCTCTGACCCTCCCCCCTCTCATGTGCTCTCTTTCTCAAATAAATAAATAAAATCTTTAAAAAAATAAAAAAATAAAATCACTACCCAGGGCCTGCTGGGGGCCCAGAATATTAGTAATCCAGGACCTATTAAGGAGCTCAAATGCTTTATGAGATGTGGGAGAAAAAGGAGAGCATGATCACACATGAAGAGGCTATAGGGCTGCCCACTGCTCAACTCCATAACCATTTGTTCACATTAGCATATAGGTCTGAAACAACCTCACTTCCAAGCTTATTAGCAGATAGGATCCTTTCCATCCTAACTTGAAAACATAATACTCGAAGTCTAGAAGGAACACGATCCTCACCAACATTAACAGCCACATATGTGGCCCACCTTTTCAACTGATGTAGGTTATGTGTTGAAATACCGAAAAATATACGAATATACACTTAGAAGTAAAAGTGATATTTGTACAGTCCAATGAAGGTTCCCCAAATGAAAAAAAAAAAAAACTTTAGAGACAGTCCAAACTCCTCCTACACAGACAGAAAGGGGGCTGGGAAGTCCATAACAGGCCTGGGGAGGGGGTACTAGAGAAAGGAAAGTGTCGGTGGCTGCTTCCATCTCTAACTTAACACATTTCTTCTCCTGTTAGAAAATTCTTATAAGAATGTGTTTGTTTTATGTTTTTTAAAATACTAAATACCCAGTTTCTGACTTCATATTAGGAAAAACAAGGCTTTGCCTAATTAGACACTAATTGGTTTTTTGCATAAATACTCAAAGATATACTACAAAAGGACATGGAAGTAATTTCTAGTTATACTGCAGGTGCCTTCTAACTGTTCTTCCTGTCCTTGGGATCTCTACTACTGGATTCCTCCTACAAATTGTTGCTCAGTTAATGTTTCTAAAATACCATACTTGTCTTATCCCTGCTCAAAAACTTTGATTGAAAGAGTCTGTGTGACCTACATATAAGTCTAATTGCCTCAGCCTTGCATTCACAACATTCTACAACCTAGAGTCTGGTCACAAACTCCTTGCTCAAGCAAAATCAATTACTACATTCACAGACCCTACCCCACACGGGGCTGGATTCACATCTGCTTTCTGCCCTTTTCCCTCTGGAATGTTCTTATCCATCAAAACTCAGGGCCCACTTCAAATCCCATCTTCCCCACAATCACACAGTAAAAAGTCACAGCTCTTAATGCTCACTGCACTTGTACTGCTGCTTAGGTATTGGTATGTGTGGTCCTTTTCCCCAGCTATATTTAAGTCCTTGTATGTAGGAGTATTGCCTTACTCCAAGTTTTCTACCTATCCACTGCAAAGTACACAGCACACTGTATAAAAAAGTGGTCTACACGTTTGCTAAATAATGTTTAAACAGGTTCCTAAATATGTATACTTGTCAAATAAAAGTATTCTAAGGAGTTCTGCTATTAATCAGAGCTGATCACTTCGTCTATTTCCATGGGAGAGTTACCACAGAGTCTAACAAGACTACAGGATACACACAGGATTATGGAGTCTGGAATATCTGGGTGTGACTCTCACCTATGCTACCTATTAGCTGTATGAGTTTGGGCAAATCATTTAATCTCTCTGGCCCTCAATTTTTGCATTTGTAAAATGGGGTAATATAATCTCTACCTTGCAAGGTTATCGTGAAGACTTCAAACGATATATTGGAAACTGAGCACAGTACCAAGCATGTCATTTGCTCCCAATACATGGTTATTATATTACAACTGTTTTGCCCTTAGACCATAAGCCCTTTGAAGGTTGCTAGTTTCTCCCTGGCACCTCCAAGAACTGAGCACACACCACCATATGGGATCAGCCTAGACTGGGCTTATAAACTATTATTTCTGCCAAGCAGTGGTTTCAGAAGCCCCATCACTCATAGTAGGTGTGGTCTGTAAACAGTCTACACCATAAGGCCTGAACTTCTGGGGCCTATGCCATTGCACTGCCCAGGCTAATCTTCTGTTTTTGTTCTTATCATTCACTCTGGTTTCCTGCCAGGATTCGAGTCTGGAACCCTGACTGCCCCACATTCCTAGGGAATGGATCCTACTCCATCTTTTCCCACTATCTGGCCTAAGGCCCTACCCACATCCCCTTCAATTGGATGAATATTTGTGAAACCACATCTAGTCACTTGCAGATCTGACATCAAGAACAAAGAGTGCCCCAAAGTCTCCTCCTGGCTTTCATCACACCCAGTGCCCCATCCCATGAATCAACATCAGGCCAGATGGGATCTAAATTCACTATGTCCCCACAGATGGAGCGGTCTGGAATGCTGCTGGCATGAGGTTCATCGAGACAATTGCTGGGGCCCTTTTATAAGTTTAATTCTACAAAGTTGAACTTATTCTCTCTACAGATCTCCCCAGCAGCTATCTACCTAACACCAAAATATGAAGTGTGCAGAATCAAGGCAAACAGTGTATTTGCTAAATCAGTCCCTGCTCTAAGACATTTCAGTCATGGCAGGAAAGTTGAGAAAATGGTTGTAATAGTAGAGATACAGGGAAAATAAGCTGGCCTGACTAGTGATTTTCTGCTGATTTGTACCTTTTAATGCATCATTTTCCGGAAGAGGTAAGAGTTTGTTATCCCAAAAGAAAATGTACTTGTTTTTAAAAATTAGCTGTACTTCTACTAATCAGTACAATCGTAAGGAATACATCAAAAGTGAATAACAGAAAGAACCTAATTCCATCAAGCAGCCAGCAAATAACATGGTAATTTGGACTCACTCTTCCAGGAACCAAGGGGATAGTAGCTTCAGCCTTGGTTCTCTCAGCTTCATCATAGCTGGGCAGTGTTGTCGCCACATTGTAAGACGGAGGCTTTGGAAATCCACACTCGTCTTTGTAGTCAAAATATGCTGCAGAATAAAAAGGAAGTCACAAATATCTGACCATTAGCTAAACTAAGGAAAAAGAAGATTTCCACTAACTCTGGCAAACAAAAAACAGCTGTTCCTCTAAGAGTACGTATAGAATAATTGAATCGAAATGTTTATGTATGAATATGAGATCGAGAATGATTTTTAAATTTATCCACCTTTCAATTATTTAAATTTGTTCATTTAAATCACTCTGCCTTCCCTTCCAAATGCCTTTAAACACATTTTCAACTGTTATATGGTATGTTCACAAAAGGCATTTAATATTAATAGTGGTATAAAGACAGCATTTAAGTCAAAAATACCTCACCTGTGTGTGTGTATGTAAAGCTGTACCATGGTTTCCTCCCATTTATAAACAGGAAAACCAACTTAACAAAGAAGTTAAAATTCATTTCTCACAGGTTTGTTTTAGCATTTTGATTCTTACACATTAGTTTTACCGTGTACTGTTTTCTATGATGTGCCTAAGGTAACTAATTCAGTTACAGAGCCATTATTTATTTGAATTGAATCTTTCATTTCCTCTTTTTAATGTTGCATCTTCATTCTCATTAACTCCTATTACAAGAAACTCAATATTTATCAGAAAAGAGCTATTTAAAAATGTATTAAAATTCTGCACAATTTTTAAAAAACAAGCATTTTGAAAAAAAAGTCCTAGAGTTCATCAAGATTAACATTTTTCTTTCTTTTTTCCCTCTGGTTAATTGTAATTAACTTCCAATTTTACTGTAACATTACTGAAATCATGAATCAATACAGTTCACTTCTAATATTAACAAAAAAAGAAGAAAAAGTCTATCGTACTCACATGGGCAGAAAAAGCATTTTATAAACTTTGACACCCTGCTGATCATAAAAACCCTTAGCAAATGAGGAATAAGGGAAAACATCCTTAATCTGATCATAAGTCTCTATGAAAAACCTAGAGTAAATATCATAATTGTAAATTTTTAAGTTTTCTCCCCTAAAATTAGAGATTTAGACAAAAGTGCCTATTCTCACTACTTCTTATCAAACATTACCTTAAAGGTCCTACTAGTTGATATAATATAGCAAGAAAAGGAAATGTAAGACATAAGTATTAGAAAGGAAGAAAATAACTGTCCTTAATAATTATGGATGACATGATTATAGAGGTATCAAACCCAAGAGTATCTACAGACAAGAATTAATATATGAATTTTAGCAAAGTCTCTGCATACAAAGTCTCTGGATGGATATAAACCATCAACTGTATTTCCATATACTACCAACAAATAGAAAATAAAATTATATATGGAACATTTTTTACAACAGCACGAGGAATAAATCTAGTAATAAACATGCAAGTCCTCAATATTGAAACCTACAAAATACTATTGAGAGGATTAAAGAAGATCTTAATTAGATGGAGAGATATATCATGTTTACAAACTGGAAGCAGTATTATAAAGATGTTAATTCTCTTCAAACTGACCCCCAGATTCAGTGCAATTCCAACTACAATTCCAGTTTTTGTTTTGTTACATTTTTTATGGAAATTGACAAGCTAATTGTAAAAGGCATTTGGAAATGCAAAAGGCCAAGAAAAAACAAAGCAATCTTGAAGAACAGAAAGTCTGGGGGCGCCTGGGTGGCTCAGTTGTTAAGAGTGTGCCTTCGGCTCAGGTCATGATCCTAGGGTCCTGGGATCAAGGCCCGCATTAGGTTCCCGGCTCCGCGGGAAGCCTGCTTCTCCCTCTCCCACTCCCCCTGCCTTGTGGTCCCTCTCTTGCTGTGTCTCTCTCTGTCAAATAAGTAAATAAAATCTTAAAAAAAAAAAAAAAAGTCTGAATGACCTACATTACCAGATATCAAGATTATAAAGCTCTATAATTAAAACAGTAGAGGATGGGCATAAAAATAAACAGACAAAAGAACAATAAATGAATCCAAAAACAGATCCACTCATATATGGTCACCTGATTTACAGTAAAGGTGACCCTGAGGAGCAGTGAAGAAAGAATGGTCTTTTTAATAAATAGCGCTGTACGAAATGGCTGTCCATAAGGAAAAACAAATTAATCTTGACCACTAATTTACACTACACAGAAAAAAACAATACCCGATGGAACAGAAATCTAAATGTGAAAAATAAAATATCACAGCCTTTAGAAGAAAATATACGAAAATGTGTTATTGAAACTAAAGCTATTGGGGCGCCTGGGTGGCTCAGTCGTTAAGCATCTGCCTTTGGCTCAGGTCATGATCCCAGGGTCCTGGGACTGAGGCCCACATCGGGCTCCCTGCTCAGCAGGGAGCCTGCTTCTCCCTTTGCCTTCAGCTTCCCCTGCTTGTGCGTGCTCTTTCTTTCTGACAAATAAATAAATAAAATCTTTAAAAATAAAATAAAAGTCTGGTTGTTTATACAGTGCCTGGGTGGCTCAGTCAGTATAGCATGAGACTCTTGATGTCAGCGTCATGAGTTCAAGGCCCACACTGGGTGTGAAGCCTACTTAAAATAAAAATTAAAAAAATTTTTCTTTTAAAGTTTGGTTGTTTATTTATTTATTTTTAAGGCCTCTGTGTATTTAGATGAAATGCCACAAAACCCAAAGACTTTATTTGAGAGAGTATTCTTCAGGCTCTATTCTAGAAATAGTTTACCTCTACCTTATACCCAATCTTAAGAATCTTTGTTATTTGCTGTTGAGGCCCACAGTAAGATCAACAAAAACAAAGGAGAAAGAGATTAAAGGGACTTCATAAGGACAGCTATAGGAAATACCATCTAACAGCAAAGGGAGAATTTGATTCTTTAACCAAAGTTCTACAAATCTCAGTGAATAAAGGCATCACTACAGTATAGGATAGAATACCTTCTAGAGAATGTTTCTGATTGTAACCTAAATCATAAGGAAAAATTTAAACAAAGAATATGACATGTAAGTGAATAAGAGAGAGAAGTGTTTGAGAAAGATTTCTACTGAAAATGGTTGTTAAGATTTTATAATTACAGAGAGTAGAAACTAAGATATTCAGGAAAAAATTACCTCCTAGTGATTCTGGGTACTTAAATACAAAGGACTTTTATCATTAATAAAACAGGGATCCAACTTTCTTATTAACCAGCTAGAATTTTCACTGGATGTTTTTCTAATGGAAAACCAGTACTTATAGTCTGGGTAGAAATGAGTAAATATGGCATGGCACTGTGATTCTTTCTCAAGTCTTGGTGTTCTCATTCGATTCCATGAGACACCCTAGATTTCCTCAAAAAACTTTAACTTAGCATTGTTAGTTTTCGATGCTTATAAATAAAATTAATACAAGGAGACAGGGTTCAAAATTTGAAGCCAGAGTGGAGGTAAAAAACTTTCTGACCCATGTTCTTCTTCATTATAATGGCAGCCTCAGGGCCACAGAGACCAACAAATTTAATCCCACATCAACGGACAATAGCTGCCCCAAGTGCTGTATAGAAAAAGATTCTGAGGCTGTGTTTGGGATAAATGCTGTCTTCAATTTGCCTATCTACCCTGGGAAAAGGATGGGTTCAGTGGTGGCACCGTGGGCCATATACTTGCCACACTGCCACACTTCTCTGTCAGAGAAAATGGAAGATGTTCCATCAAAACTGGTCAATTTTCAGCAACTAAAGGAGAGCTGCTCATCAGGCAGCTTTAAGCTACCCAAAGTCCTCAACTGTCGAGGTTTTCTTTCTCTTCCCCATCCTTTCTATATAAACAGGTAAAAATGTAAAAGACGGTCTGGCATAAGATGTGAAGATGAAAGATTACTTAAGGAGGGCTTAAACTATGAGAAACATCATGAAAGAGCTGAGAGACTTCCAGGTTTTTTTATTAAGAATTTACTAACACAAAAGAAATCAAACGTACTATGTTCCAGGTCGCAGGCACTAGAATCACAAAGAGCAAAACAATTAATGAGGAAACTACAAAAAGAATAAAAATCAGATGATCACCTGGTTGCTTAATTTCTACCTCCTTTATATTCTGTTGGAATGAAATTGAGTTCCATAAAAAGCCACAATGAAATGGAGTTTTAAGTGTTTTTTAGAACAGTAACATGAGTTCCCCCCCCCCCCGCTTTTGGCAATAAACTACAAATAATGTCAGACTTCTTAGGGAAAGCTGAAGTAAAGGCAAAGACGAATAGACACATACTGGACAAGCCTCTGGCCAAGTGCATTTCAAGAGTTCAAGAGTCACCTTGCCCAGTTACCTACCTGCACTCTCCGCAGAGATGCTGCTGTAAGGTGGAGGAGCATCCCCTACTGCCTGTTCTGGCTCTCCAGGCTCTTCCTCATTCTGCAACTAAATAAAAATTCCACATTTTAATCCAAGTACAAAGCCACTTAGAGAAGAACCTGAAAACTGGAATAGCCCTTCTGGGAAGCTATCTGGTAACATATTTCAAAAGCCTTAAAATGTGTAAATCTTTTACAAAGTATTCTGATCTCAGGAATTTATCCTAAGGAAATAGTCAAAGAGGCAAAAAAGGGTACATAAAAGTTACTGCAGCAAAAAATAGAAACAACCTAAATTCCACTCACAGGGGACTTATTAAAACAATTATAGTTCATCTCACAAAGGATCACTAAGCATCCATAAAAATGAAAATAAAGAAAATGTGATGGCTTGAACAGATATTTATGCTGTACTGTTACATGAAAAAAGCAAAATCTCCCAAAGAGTATGCATAATATAATTTGGTTGTGAAAGATACGTGAAGGTCTAGAATGAGAGACATCTACAGGTTACAATGTTTATCTCTAGCTGATACAATCATAAGGGAATTTTTCCTTTTTGTTATGTGTATATTTGAATTTTTTGTAATGAACATTTAGCACTTGTATAACTTTTTT